CAACAACTTCACTACCAGGTAATGGGATTGAAATCCGCCTAGGCTCAAGAGCGCCATCACCTGGTTCAAGTGGTTCATGTTTATCACTTGATGGTCCTTTTGATGCTTTAGGAATTTCTACAAGTTCACCTTCTGGCCTCTCAGGTGGTTCTGAGGGAGCATACTCCTCAAGATCATCACCCTGTAAATCATTCTGAGGCTCAGATGTTTTCGACTTGTGTCCCTTCCAAAATGGATCAAAACCCTTGGAAGTATACCGAAACTTTGGCGGCGCGGGCTTTTCCGCGGCACTTGATGGTGCACCTTCCTTCTCTGACGAGAAGCCTGGTTCCCTGTCCTTTGCAATGGGAACCTTCTCTGAGGAGGAGCGCACCACTGCATCGGGATCACCAATGCCACGGTGCTCAATGCCAGCCTTCCTGATCTTTAGATCTGGAATTTTGGCATCTGGCTTGAACTTAAAAATTGTTCTACCACGCCATTCATAGCCAATTTGTAGGTCCTTCCATTTTGCCTTGCGCCAATCATCTAGCTTCTTGATTTCTTCTCCTCCTTTCTTCTTCTTGATGATTGTCAGTCGCAAGTCTTCCAGTAAGTCAGTGTCTACAGGACAGGACTTAGTTGCTGGAAAAAGAATCTTTCTATAATCCTTGTGGTGACGTATCAGTTCTCTCTTGTGAACATCTACTTCCCAGTAGTCAACCACAGGATATGCATGTTCAGCTACATCTTCATCACTATTGTGATCAACAGAAATATGACCATATTCATAGTGAGTGAAGTGAGAGTAAAAACTCTTCTCGCGCCGAGTCTGCAAATTCACGTCAGACATGCAATATCTTGGAAGTCCAAGACAAGATGAGTACTGGCTGCAACCTTCAACTCCAAATATTTGATACCAAGAGGCACCGATGTCAGATAAGCATGTTGAGGTGTCAGCCTGAGTTCAAAGCCTAAGTTCCTCATCTGTGGCAAGCTCATAAGCAAAGGGACTTCTCCTTCTTCCACTATGTCGAACTCTGTATGGTGGATCGTCCATGCACGATCATACATGTAAATCACCAGTTTCTGAGAGCAAGTAGCCTTCTGGGAATTGGCAAAGTAAAACTTGCTCTTGGTAGACTCAAAAGAGTACCATAATCCACAATCTGAGTGATTGTCGACATAGTTGCAAAAATGGTCGACTGCTCGCCTTGATCCCATAGCTCTAGTGCATCCAATGTCCAGGATTGCAATAGTCGGCGGGAAGCGATTCTCAGTCAAAAATGAAATGGCCTGCATCTCCTTCACTTCTTCTTCAGCGCTCATAAGCGCAAAGCCATCAGGAGCCTTTGTGAGCATCTCCTTTGACAAAGAGTACCTCACAGGGGCACTCATGCCATTGAAGATCGTCTCACCATTGTTGACCGCGCAGTCAGCTTCATCTTGACATGAGGTCATCATGCCTGACAGCAAGTTCACCTCACTGTCATGGACTTCAGCTGCTGCTGTCACACAATGTGCAAAGAAACCTTGTTGACCTCCTGATGCTTGTGAAGATCTTGAAGGTGCAGGTAAAGAACGTGGCTGTTGTTGATTTGCATAGTTTGCATCTTGTTTGCCATCTCCTTTATCTTGTCCTTGTCCTTTCTTGCCTTTTCTCTTGCCTTTTCCTTTTCCTTTGTGGGAAAACCATGCTTCTTCAAGCTGTTGCCAAAAGTCATTGGCATCATCATATTCTCCTTGAAGATAGTCATTCATATCTTCGGCAAGAATGGCATCATATGCTACTTGGTTTGACTCCCAAGTGTCCTCATAAGGATTCTCTTCATAATACTCATCTGGAAAAGTTGTCTGTTGCTCATCAGCAAAATGGCCTTTACCTCGTCTCTTTCCTTTTCCTTTTCCACGAGGTCTGAAAATCTGCGGCCTGATCTTCCTTTACCTTTTCCTTTTCTTCTTCCTTTTCCTTTGCCTTTTCTGGCTCTTCTTCCTTGGAATCTCCTTTGGAACCACGAGAAGTTTTGATCACCATTTACCCAAAAGACATCGTCCAGGGCATCTAAAAATCCTTCTGTTCCATCTTCTTCATCTTCGGCCCAATAGCCAAATGTACCATCGAGTTCTCCTTCGTCTAGTACGAGAAATGATCTTCTACCTCCAGCACCTGTCGGTTGCATCAAAGGATTGTCTACTGAAGTCTTCGTCGTGCAGAACATCTCGATGAACACTGTCCTCAACTCTGTTGTAGTGTATTGCTGCAGGACCCTGCCACGATGAGTCATCAAAGAAGTCAAAGTGTTTCGCTGGTCCTGAGACAAATCTGCAAGTGACAGCATGAGTAAGGCAATGAGATTTTCTCCTAGAGGAAATTCGTTCTGATGAAAAGTCCTCATATTGCCATTGATGGTCTGCGTGATTTCCTGAATCCTTTCTGCCGTTGGTGCTACTCCAGTCAACGCTGCATCTGCCTGCATCTGAGCTAGGACCTGTGGATGTGCTTGAGTGACTGGTTCTAACATGTCCATCCAACTGCTCATAAGCCTTTGGAGTAAAATCTGGAATCTTGTCATCCATTTCATCATGTCAGCTGATCCTCGATTGAAGCGCACGAATTGCATAAATCTATACAGGAATACATTGGTTGATCCTTTCACGAAATATGGTCGTAGTACTCGTTTGAAATATTCTACGCCGGCTCCTGGTGGATCATTTGCCTTCAATGCATCTCTGTCTAAAACACGCTTGTATACAGCTGCTTCTCCTTCTAATCTGTTTCTTAATGCTGGTCCTCTCTTCTCATCTTCCAGCTCGGTGATATCACACCAATCGTCTATGGCATCCTCATAGGAAAACCATGAAGTCTTTCCATCATAAGATGGGGGCACCTTTGTAGTGACCTGTGTTGTCATTGCTATTGCTGCTGGTTCTCTTCTCACATGCCTATTCACATAGGCTGCTGGCTCATAAGCCACATCCGCATCAGGCTCTTCCCAGTCGTCTGCCCACTAGCAAGTCTATGCCTAGGAAAAGAGCTCACCTGGGTCTTCCAGGATCACTGCTCCGCTACCACTGAAAGAGTGACTAGGGCGTACACGGTAGAGGTGCAGACCGCTAGTGTCGTTTATGCGCAGAGTCTTATCCTCTTGCTCTTTGAGCCTTGAAGCAGTCAAGCATGGACACACTATATCGGCTGTTGGAGTGGAACCCTGTACAGGTAGGCTCTACTTTTCAG